ATATCAGGTCTTTCTGTTTTTTCCTTCTTCTTCTTCGTCTTCTTCTTTATTTATTTTGTAGTTTTGTTTATGTCTTGGCGAAACGGTCCAAGCCGGAAAGGCGAACCACGGATGTGCATGCAATGCGCGATGTTGGTATCAACTGCGATTGTTGGGGGAGGGTGTTGACACCAATGTGTGACTAATTCTTGAGTGAAATTCGTTTGGCCAATATCGATAACATGTCGATAAATGCATGACGAAATTCTTATTGTTTTGTTATCGAAAATATATCGATAGAGGTATGAAGAAATTTGATAGTGTTCTGTATACTATAAATATTAAATTGCTTGTCACATACAAGTTCGTTGCCTAAGTCTTTCGTTTTGGGCGCATTCTTCAGCAGCCGCTGGCACATTTGTTCAATCAGTCAATCAGTTAATCGCGTTGGCTGTGCAATGGACCCGAGACTCATCGCTTGTCACACTTGTCAACCGCTCAAAACTGCCGGCAACCACTTGTAATGCACAGCGTGTGTGTGTGTGTGTGTGTGTGTTGTGGGATCGAAATAAAGTGGTTTATTATTTATTTTTGTTGGCCATGCGACGCGTGTTGTGTTGTGAACGAAAATTATGTGTGTGTTTACTTCGTTCATTTCGCTTCAATTTCTTCAGCAAGAATATCAAAAGGCTGTTTTGAGGGCGACTTTGGGGGCTTTCTAGTGAAATTGAAAACGCATTTAATAACACGCCAAATTGAAATGCAAAGAAAACACTAACAAAAACAACAAAACGGAAGAGCAACCAACTGTTGACAAAATTTCACTTTCAGCCAGGCGCATGCCCAATGCTAATGGCCCAAAATCAAGTGAATCTCTCAATTCGAAACGGAATCTGGACTGGGGTTTGGTTTTTTTTTTTTTTTTTTTTTTGTTCAAATTGCCTGCTGCCTAAAATGCATAAATCAAATTTCACAAGGGCCGCAAATGAGATGAGTTCGTCTCTGATTAGCGATAACAATTTTCAATGCTGACGGCGCCATTGAAGGGGCGTGGCAGCAGCAACAACAACAACGTCGACCACAACAATCGTACAAAATTTGATTAGCCGGAACCGCCTTTGGGGGCGGCGTGCATGAGCCAACCGAAAGTGTTTTTTGACGCAGCAAATGAACCAGAAACCCTTTTACTACATGCATATATACCCTGTTACCAGGGAAGGCCCAAAATGGGGTATCATAGTGTTTTGCCAATATCACACTTTGTGTATATCGAGTCACATAGATCTTCCCCTGATCTTGTCTAGCCGTCTTTTTCTTAATAAGAGCCCATCGAACTGGAGATAGCATATAAATGAAAGAGACTTGATTAGTGTGTACTTTTCCATCAATTAAATGTCAAATTTGGTTAGTTTAGATCTTAAAAGCTAAGAGATTTGCTCAAAAAACAGAATTTCGATATTGATCGATTGCTTGGAAACGGCGCAAGTTATCGATTATCGGAAACAAACTCGTACTGCGCGTTTAATAGGAAGGCTCAAAAGCTTGTAGCTCTTATAGGCTCCGAGATCGAAGCGTTCTTACAGACGGACCGACAGACGGACGTCGACTCGACTCGACCTGCACAAAACCAATAAATCCTTTTAGCCATTTTCAGTGAGTACAGGGTATTAAATGGTCGATAATGTGTCCTCATTGAACTATAAGTGCTGAATATGCGATATTTTACTCGAACGACAGCAAATCATAAAGCAGAGCAACATTTTAGCCCTGGCAGGGCATCCAACAGTTGAGCACGCCGCGCTAGGCCTATCCCAAATTTTAAACTTTTTTGGGTTCGGTTCTGTGTGTTGGAAAGTTTTTCACGTTTTCTTAAGCAATTCGCGCACGGCGTCTAATGGAAAATTATGTACATCTGGTAATAAGTTCAAGTTTTTGATTAAGATCTTGATGATTTGTTCACAGCTCGCGATGAGTTGGCATTATTCTTGACTCCAAACTGGGGAGTAAATAAAACTAATTACTAGCTTTTTAAGAGAGAGAGTTATGTGTTATTGTACTCATGTGTATTAAGCTCAATGTTAACCAATTTTGAACTATTTACTTTGTTTTGCAGCCAAAGATTAGACAACGCCCAGACGCCTAGCTAATGACTACATTTCATGGACCATGCTAAAAGGTAAGTGCCAACAAGCGCTCTATGGGCGCAAGTTTGTTGCCTAAGTCTTTCGTTTGCGGCAAGGCGAAATACGATCTGCAATGCGTTGATGAATTGCCAAAAAAAAAAAAAAAAAAATAAAAAATACAAAAAGTTAGTAAATAGAAATACGCGAACCGTTAATTGTTCATGATCAGGAATTGGGCGCAGAGACATTGACAACGATTTAAACAAGGACCGTTACATAAAGTAAACACATGCCATGATTTTTTGATTTCATTTCTCAGCCGCTATTTCTAGCCAACTCTCTGCCTATATACCCTAGATAAAGCATTGTAAGGAGCATTTGCCTTTCCATAAAGTGCAGTCATTCAAGTTATATCTAACTATGCGCACTGAACTCTTGGCAAAGCTGGGCTTTTCATATTCTGTAAGGCTGCTTCCTAATCCTTGAGTTAGTATCTACTTTGGTTAAACACAGATTGGACTGCTATATCTTACTGTAAATTTAGAAACTTAAACTTGAAAATTGTCAACTTGGATTCGATTGTCCTATAAACATATTTGCTCTCAAGATAAAGATTTAACAGACAATATGCTCTTAAAGCCTGCGACCTCTATAAAACCTAAACTAAATTCGGATCGAGAGAAGAAACACCGGGTAAAATAATTTATTTCGAATAAGATTACGCCCGACTTGTTATTTAAGAAGTAGAGTCAAATTTCTATGGAAACATTTATTAAATGAAATAAATATTTTGAGTTCGAATTTAGAGATAGATGAATTTCCATTCATTTTTTCAGCCTCAGTTTAAATTCCATTTATAGGGTATTGCATGAACAGTCTCCCAGTAGACATAAACCTTTTATTAGGTTTTCTTTTTAATTTTGTTTTGCGTGACACTCGTAAATATTTTTGAGCAATTGTCATTAAGCGGCCTGTTGGTTGGTCTGTTTTGGGCCGTTTGGGCCTTTCGTTCGTTAAAGCCAGCCCGTCGCATTTGGCAGCGACCTTAAATGGTTTTTGACTTTGACTTCATTGGCTTTTGCGCCGGCAATTGGCGGCCCGCAATATTATTATTATTATTATACTATTTTTATTTCATTTTTGCCCGTTGTTGTCTGTCTGAGGATTTGCAAAGCTAATTAAGCTATTTGACTTGTTGTTTGTTTAGTCATGCAGCGCAAAGCTCTTAATTCTCGACAGAAAAAAAAACTAAAAAAAAATAAACAAGGAAAATGCGAAATATATAAATAAATAATAAAGCACCAGCAAGACAAACGCAATTCAAATGTTAAAGAGTTATGAAAATATCGAAAAAGTTGTGGGTTGTGCAAATACAAGCGCAGAAAACAGGTTAAAGCTTTATTACCAGCTAATATGCGATTAACATGAAGTTGCATAGCTGCCAGCTTGGCCCAATGGCTTGTAGCATTCAGTTAATTAGAGTGACATAGCAGACAGCTTCGCATTATTATCGAAGTGAGCAGTGTTCAGTTTAAAATGTCATCTATAAATATTGCTACTTATTAAAATGGACATGCCAAGCAAAGGCAAAAACTGAAAATTCTCCACACAAAACTAAAAGTTAAGCTTAAAATGAAAAACCTAACAGAAAAACCTGTTGAAAAATGAAACAAAAAACTTTTCAACTTGACCTCAAGAGATGCCCATGCTCTGTGCCACGTTGAAATGTTGAGAGGCCGCAGTTTCTTTAGATTTGCTTAGATTATTTTCTAGAGTTTAGTATGCTTTATTTTGCATAGTTGAATAGCTATTGCCACCCACAAAGCGACCTTGGGAAACACAAAAAATTAACCCAAAAATGTTTAAGAAAAACAAAAACTGAAAGCTAAACTAAAATCGAAGAAGAATAACATAGTTTTTTGCCTTGTTTGACCTTAAGCTCAATTTCGAACAGTTGAGAGGATAATTATTTGCTCTCCATATAGGCAAACATTAGTTTTTTGAAGAAGACGTCTTCAATCCCATTTAAGAATTGTAAGAATTGTGTTATCCCTTGAATTGTAATAAGACCTTTTTGTAATAAATTATCTCAACTATACATATTATACATATAAATCTCGATATATATATATATATTATTATATTAAGAGTAGAACGTATATATTAAGAGTAGAACGTAGACTCTCGCACAGTTTAAATAGCAAAAACTTAATAAAGATCGGATTCTAAATACCGACGATACTCAAGGCTGCATTTGCCAAATGTCTGCCCATTTTTCTATTCAGATTATCTTTATCGTTTTTTAATTAAGATTATCTTTAAGTCAAAACTATTTTATCTTCTTTATCTATATTTTTTTGCCAGCCACAAAGCGAAACGCAAATTTAGCTCACAAAATTTGACAATGCCTACAGTGGCGTCTTCTCGCATGAGCACGGCTACAGCTGCATGTACAGGCAACAGTGTCGGCCCAAGCTATTGCAGCGCAGCCGGTTGTGGCGCTCTCTCGGCTCGGCTCGGTTGTGTGCGCGTTCTCCCTCTCTCTCTCTCTCAGACACACTTTCTCTCTGTCCCACATGCTACCTCTCTCTTTCTGCCTCGCCCACACTGAGCACCTGTCGCCGCAACTTTGTCTTTCGTTCGAACTTCTTCGGCTGTCGCTGCCGACGCCGGCGTCGCTGCCTTGAGCTCACCTCAGCTAGCCGCCGTGCTGGGCACGTCTTGGGGTTTCAATGCGTTGCGAGCCGCCGATAAGAACGCACGCGTACGAGCGAGCGACCGTCCGAGCAAGTGTCGAAAAGTTTTGTGAACAAAATTAATGAAACGCGCGCGCGCTTTAAACTGTTCTTTGTGTTTTTTTTTTATTTAAACGTTGAACAGTTTGTTGTTTTTTTTTTTTTGTTTGAAGAAAACATACTTTTCTTTTTGGCGAGAAGTAAATTGGAAAATTCGAAGTAAATACAATTGTTTTATGTTGTGCACTCTGATTATCTTTGTGGCCCAGTTTGCGCCCAGCTGAGTAACTGTTTCTTGTGTGTCATGTGACAGTTCTGGCCGCCAGGTGTCGCGCCTCTTAATATATATATATACATATATATATATCTAGTGTTTCCAAAGCGCACACCCAACTTTAAGCAAAATGTCAGCGAAAAATCAAATGAGCGTCTTCATGGAGAAGATAAATACGGTGAGTTGAAAGTTCAGTCGTGCCGGCTTTATCTGTAGAATGCTTCCAATTCTGTGTTCTATATGGGCACAAGATTTCGTATATATATATATTTAAACGAACAACACGTTCTTCAGCTTTATTCGAACAATTTACGACAATTCTTAAAGGCAGCTGTTCAAATAGTTTTTAGAGCTGAGTAAACGCTTATTTTTTTAAGCCACAAATCTTAAGATTTGGGTTTTGCTTCTACTTTACTTCTTTCGAGAAAACTCTTCCGACAAAAATTGTCTCTAGCGACAAAATGTCAGGTGTTCTTTTTTCTCTGATTGCAACTCAACTTGTTAGCTATAAATTTTCAAATCCTTGGATGTTCGTTGATTTCTATAAATTATTTTATATGCCTCTGAGAATAATTGATTCCCTCACTGATTTAAGAGTTTCTTGAATCTCGCAAGTTTTTTGATAGGTCTTGAAAAAATAAAATTATTTGATATTTGTTAATAATTCAAGTTAACAAGAGAACTTTTTTAGAGAACTACATATTTGATTTCTTCTTTGGATACATCTATTTCGAACTATCAGACTTTAAAAAGATATGTTAAGATAAAGACTTCTTTATATATAGTCGAGATGTTTGTCATTGCCCTAAAACCTTTATCTCAAAAACAACTACCAGATGTTTTTTCTTCGGCAAGATTTCAATTCCTTTCAGTTTTACTTTTTCAAATTTCTTTAAAGCTCACATATTTAATTGTTTGTAGACTGAAAATATTTTATTTCTCAAAGTTTGGACTCATTTCATAATATTTTACTAGAATTTCTTCATGTCAGAAGTTCCTATTTGCTTTCCGACTTTTCTATAGACCATATATATAAATAGAGAAATTCTCATTTAATTCAAAAGTTTATTTTAGTTTTTCATCGTAGATTGACTCATGCCATTAAATAGACTAACTGCTGTGCACTTCTTTTAGGAAACTTGTGCTTAATTCAATAGTTTTTTTTTTTTATTTTGTATTTCGAGTTTCTCGCCTGTCATTTATATTGTTCTCATATGCGCGAAAACTTTTACTTTGAAGGAATTTCATATACAATTGGCCAAATGCGCTGGAGAGTTCTTGATTTCCCATAGATTGCCTTGGGTTTCCCAGAGATTTCTTTGGTTTCGCCAACTTTTCATTAGTTTCGCATTGTTTAACGGATTGCCGAGCACCTGCGGAATGAGGCGCGGTCTTTTATTTTGTGGTGAAAAATGTGTCGACTCATTTGTCATTTGCATGCAGCGCTGGTTGACGGGTCATCAATAAATTGAAATTGAAATTGAAATTTTTGCGCTTAGTTTTCCAAACGCCTCAAATCCGAGCGATCGTCGCATTTTGATTGCCCAACAACAACGCATAAAATGAAAGTGAAATGCGCTTCAAATTAAGTGCTTGGTCTATCTGATGCATGTGTGTGTGTGTGTGTGTGTGCGCTCAAGTGGCTGCTTCAATGAGCCTCAATTGAATGACTGACGAAATGCTGCGCACCGCATAATAAACGACGTCCAAAAGAAGTGGCCAACAACAATTTTTTTATGCAGCAGCAATTGTTGTTGTTGTATTGGTTGTTGTTATTTGTATGCAACAATAATTAATAAATCTACTTGATGGTCTGCAAATGCGAGGTGAGAGTTGCCCAATTGCCCAATGCGCACGCTCGATAAGTTATCGAGCGCATTCACATATCGAATATGTACTTTCAAGAATCTCAAACATTCATTTCTTCACTCCCTGTCTGAAATTGGGCAAATGTACATTGTGCATTTGGGAAGTGGTTAACAATCGATAAGTTATCGAGCACATTCACATGTGATATGATCGATAATTAACATTCGTTCCTTTTCGATATTCGTTACTTTTACGTATCTGTCCGAAAAGCGTACTCGAAATAGATATATATTCGATAAATATCGGTCAAATAATGAACTTGTCTTTGAAGAATCTCAAGCATATATTTGGCTCAGCTTGACAAATTATCGAGCCCATAAATTGATTATAAGCTTTCGAGAATCAACAATGGACTAATCGAAATTGTAACTAAGATTGTTCAATAAGTTTTCGTGCCCTTGTATAGAAGTTAAGCCTGCTAAAATGAACCGAATGCACTTAAGGTATTCAGCTATGGACAAAACGATGGCACTGTTAAGTATTTATGGGCTTCGGGACAAAACGATATATTTAAAACAATATAAAACGTTAGTTATCGGTTCTACAATGAGTTCAATTATTGAGTTCAATAAGCTGGCCAAATTTGACTTTTAACAATCCAAAATACATTTTAAATAACACAATTAATATAATTGCGCATAAATAGGGCAAAGGCTCAAATAAGCTGCCTTGATATGTTATCGATAACAGTATTTCGATAAATACTGCTGTTCAGCAGGCCAGACTTCGCACATGAATATCTGTAATCAACTCATAAAATGTTATTGGCAAATGCGAAAACGTACGAGTTTTAAGTAAATTAGCAATAAAAAATGCATGAATTTCGATTTGCTGTTAAACGCCTCTGGGTCAATGCCAATCAATGGCAAGTGTCTAGAATGCAGCCAGCCAAAGTTGACGTCATGAGCATAAAGCGGCCCGCTTGGCCGAGATGTGACAGGAACCAGGCCCGAGGCAGGCGAACCAGTTTCTGATTACGGGGGGGGAGGGGAGACGGATGCGTTTATGCAACCAAAAATTCGCATGCAAAGTGCAGGCAGGCAGAAGAAGAGAAAGCCGCTGCCAGGCTTAATTGGAGAGGATTTAACAGGCGGTCGAGTAGGGGTAGTGGTATGGATAGGGGGGACTAGGCATTACGGCTGTTAAATTCTAGCGCAGATTGCGGTTGTTGACGTCACAAACGAATGACTTAGGCAACAAACTTGTGCGTGTGGCCCGTTGGCCATTCAACGGTTAATGCAAAATGCCGTTAATGCACAGCATCAGAGACAGGCACAGACTCATCAAATTTATTGAATTATCGCCTAAACAACATATCTGAAATCTGGTTACGCAATGAGCATTGAAATTGACACCCGTCCGGCAATCGCTTCAGCATTTAACTGCCCATCAAATAGCCATATACTAGACTAGAAAAGCATCCTGTATTTTTCCTTGTTAAGTAAGCCGGCAAGCGCTCAGTCAATCAGTCAGTCAGTCACTCAGTCAGTCAGTCAGCTAGTCAGTTGATTAGCCTGTCCAGCAGCCAGTCTGACTGCTCGCTTTAAATGAATCGAAGGTGAGGCGGTTTTGGTTAATTACGTGCTTTATTTTACTCGCAAATTGAAATGCGATTGCATTTAATGCAATTCAATTAAAAGGCAAGTGTCAAGTGCGTGGGGTTCAACAATGTTGGCTGCGTACACGCCCTCAGAAATGTCAGCCAACATATGTCTGTTTGTCTGTCTGTCTGGCCACTAGGAAGTCGCGTTTAAGTGCTTTAACAAATTCCTAATAAATAAACTCAGCCACTCAGCGGCACCTCGAACAGGGACTTACAGACTTGGACCAACTAGTTGGTTTGACTAGAAGTTCACTTCATAAATTACGCCAGCAGCAAATTGTGTACTTTGCATGTTGCCATATTTGGTATAAAGCTTTAAAACATTTGAAAACGATTTCGTTGGGAATGCAATAAGAATGCCATAATGGAATTTTCTTAAGGCACCCGAGCAGGAATGATCTTAAGGAATTTGGTTAGGCGCCCGAGCAGGCACTTACAGGACTTAGTTGGGTTTCTTAGCTCGATTCAAATTGAGTATCTTTAATGCGCTCACATCAGGCGAATAGTTAGCAAATTGTTGGCATAAAATTTGGCTGACAAAAGAAAAGAATACCACAATACGCTGGAGCAGGCACCTTATGGAATTCAAATAGGCGCCCGAGCTGGGATGCTTAGAGTCAAAAGTTTCGGATAATTTATGGAACCTACAAGAGGTGCCAACGGCCCCGACATTTGTTACCTCAAACTATTCAAACCAAAAGCCAAACTACAACTGCGTCTAGTCAAAGTTTAACGAAGAGGAAGAATAAGTATTATCAAATAATTAAACTTGGCATTTTCCATAAATATATTTAAAAATATATTTGATTGAAAGATGATTTATTGGCAATAAAAAAATAACAACTAAAAGTCAGGTATTGTAGTCAGCAATGTTTATATATATATATATATATATATATATATATATATGACAGATCACTTGACTATGATTTAAGTGCGCATTTAGCTGGATCAAGCATACGCACCGTTGTGCATGCGGTGTAACTAAAAGCCAACCGCCAACCGCCAATGCCAAATGAATATGCATTTAGCTGGGCCGCTTCCTCGGCCATAGATCTTGGCCGGGAACTGTTTAGTTGGTGATAAGCCAAAGGAATGGCTGAGTTCTCATGCGGCTTGCATAAGCTGGGGGCAATTCGAGACACCGCAATAGAATCGACTTGTGGCGCATTTGGATCTTGTTACCCGACTCCCCCCACGCCCAAACTGATGGCTGATTTGGCAAAAAAAAAAAAAAAAAGAAAAAAAAATGTTTTCCGTTTTTTATTTATTTATTTACACATATATTTTTAAGAGGTAGCTGTAAAATGCTTTGACGGCCCCTGGGGCCCATTTACGGCGCGTCTCTGACCCATATTGTTGTAAAGCGTTGGCCAACCCGGTGCCAAATACGGAAGCCATGTAATGCTAATGAATTCAAAAGCAAGCCAAAACGAAAACTGAAAAGCCAAAAACTCGAACATGGTCAGAAAAAGAAAAAAAAAACGTAAAGAAAAACGCAAACGAGCGAGAAAAAGAAAAATGTAGGTTTGACAACGCTGTTAAAAAGTTGTAATAATAATTTCCTGGCTCTGATTTGCATGCTGCAAGTTTTGTTTAACATACTTAATCATTGCTACTTTATGTAGCACCACATCCCCACCCCTTAACCGCGCATCCATCCACCCCGCAGCCCGTTTAAAACAAACATGCGGACCACCTACGCG